TCAGCCTGGAAGCCACGGGAGGAAGTAGAGAGGGCTGGGGGTTCTTTTAAGCCCCATTCCAGAAAAATGTCATTATTTGGCTTGTCTGGTGTTTCCCTGGAAGACCCCACTAGCAAGGCTGTCTTCATTTGACCTAACTTGGAGCTCACCCAGTATGAAAAGCCATTTCCTCAGAAGTGCTTGTTGGAAACAATCAGAGGCAATTATTTAGCATAGCTGCTGGCCAAGGCAGTGGGTAACAATTGAGGAAAACAATAGGGGAACCAAAAAGCTGAAAAGGAAAAGCTAAAGAAAGAGATGTCCATAGGGTTGGACCTTTGAAAAGCTGTAAGGTATTACTGGGACTCTAGAAGGTCACATACATGAGCTGTTGACACATTCAGGAAAGATCTGAAAAGACCCTACGCTCACACATCTGGCTAACCTTGAGGCTCTGAGCAAGCAGCAAGTGAAGGCTTCTGGGTAGTTGTAAACTGCCTGGCTCAGTGCTGGAGGTATGCCACAACATGCACACAGAGCTCCTTGGCAAAGAATGGGAAATTTACTAGTGCCAAGCTTTTAAGTCTTTGTCTAATCATCAGCTGACTACTAAACAATCAGAGACTTTAGTGGACATGTACAAGAACACAGACTTTAAGAATTAGTTTGGATGCTGGGCACGGTGACTCATGCCTGTAATCCCAGCACTTTGGGAGGCGAAGGTGGGCAGATTACCTGAGGTCAGGAGTTTGAGATCAGCCTGGCCAACATGGTGAAACCCCATCTCTACTAAAAATACAAAAATTAGCTGGGTGCAGTGGCGCATGCCTGTGGTCCCAGCTACTCAGGGGGCTGAGGAAAGAGAATCACTTGAACCTGGGAGGTAGAGGTTGCAGTGAGCCAAGATTGTGCCATTGTACTCTAGCCTGGGCAAAAGAGTGAGACTCCATCTCAAAAAAAAAAAAAAAAAGAAAAGAAATATTACTAAATAAGCAAATATAGCAGAAATACAACAAGCCCTGGGAGGAGCATTTGATTTCCAGATCTGCCACATTATTTAAAATGTCTAATTTTCAACAAGAAACTGTCCTTCAGAAAGCCTAAACATTGTACTTCATTAGATAAAGACTTTAAATTCACATCTTTTTCAAAGAACTAAAAGACACCATGTCTAAAGAACTAAAGGAAAGTATGAGAATAATGTCTCACCATATTGAGACTATCAACAAAGAAACTAAATAGAAATTCTGGGGGTGAAAGTACTGTAAACCAAAAATAAAATTCTAAGGTCCCTCACCCACCTGAATGGACTTCCTCCTCGGCCAGGGCACTCTAACATTTAACCTGAAAGGACTGGTTTGGTTATGACGGGAATTGGGGGTCGGACATGCCTCACTGTACTCTTCCAGCATTAACATCAACAGACCTTAAGTCTGATAAGAAACATTTACAATCTATTCTCTCTGAAGCCTGCTACCTGGAGGCTTCAACTGCATGAAGAAACTTTGGTTTCCAATACCTCCTATCATAACGCAGACATTTATTTCTACTGATGATAACTCTTTCAACCAACTGCCAATAAGAAAAATTTTAAATCTATCTATAACCTGGAAGCCCCTGCTTCAAGTTGTCTCGCCTTTTTGGACTGAACCAATATATATCTTAAACATACTTGATGTGTCAAGTCTCCCTAAAACGTACAAAACCAAGCTGTGCCCCCACAACCCTGGGCACATATTCTCACACAGGCCATAGTCACTCATATTTAGCTCAGAATAAATCTCTTCAAATATTTTACAGAGTCTGAATCTTTTCATCAACAGCACAATAAATGAAATTTTAAAAATCTTTTGATCAACAGCATAATAAATGAAATTTTAAAAATTTCATTTTTTATTTAAACAGCAGATTTGAGCAACTGGAAGAAAGAATCACCAAACTTAAAAATAGGTCACTAAAGATTATCCAGTCCAAGACAGAAAGAAAAAAAGAATAAAGAAACATGAACTGCTGGGCGCAGTGGGTCATGCCTGTAATGCCAGCATGGGAGGCTGAGGCGGGCGGATCACAAGGTCAAGAGATTGATACTATCCTGGCCAATATGGTAAAACCCCATCTCTACTAAAAATACGAAAATTAGCTGGGTATGGTGGCACGTGCCTGTAGTCCCAGGTACTCAGGAGGCTGAGGCAGGAGAATCGCTTAGACCCCGGAGGCAAAGGTTGCAATGAGCCAAGGTCGCACCACTGCATTCCAGACTTCCTTGGCTCATCTTTTAATCAAACAATTGTACACTTTTACAGTTGTTATCATAATAAACCTCACCTGAATCCTCCCCAAATTTCCTGTTTGAGAACTCTACCCTGTGGAAGCATTATTAAAGTGTAAAAGAAAGTATCATATCTACCTCTAAAAGCTTTAAATTCACACTAAAAGGGAATAGCCAATTCATTTATTATGTATTTTCTCATCTCTATGATTCAACCAAATATTTATTTACTGGTACTCATTTCATACTTTAAAGCACATGTTATCTATATCTTTAAGCCTTGTACAAATCTAATACAAGACATATCTTGAAAGTAATAGAAATAATCTGAGACTAAAACAACTTTTCTGACTCTTTAATACTGATTTGGGTTTATGATGAGAAATGGAAGACAGAAGGCAAATGATTCAGGAGACAGAATCCATTTATATGAAAGAGAGAAAATGCATTCCCTTAACCTCAATGCAGATAGGCACTATGTAGCCAGTGCCTCACTAGCATTCAAATTCTTGTTTAGATTTCTGAAAATGTGTTAACTGAGATGAACTTGCACTAAAAAGGGAAAAGTATAACTAAGTGGAAAGCTCTGTTCATCACAAATTCACAACTATTCACATCACATGTTGTATGGCTTATGTTGTTTTGGTTTAGGAATTAGGTCTTAATACATACACTTGAAATAAAATAAATATACTCATGGAATTAGTCCTTTCTCATGCTGCTATGAAGAAATACCAAGACTGGGTAATTTATAAGAAAAGAGGTTTAACTGACTTACAGTTCCACATGGCTGGGGAGGCCTCAGGAAGTTTACAATCATAGTGAAAGGCCCCTCTTCCCAGTGCGGCAGAAGAGAGAATGCGTGACGAGGGAAGGGGGAAGTCTCGCATAAAACCATCAGATCTTGTGAGAACTCACTATCATGAGAAAAGCAGGGGAGAAACCGCTCCCATGATTTAATTATCTCCACCTGGTCCTACCCTTGACATGTGGGAATTATTAAAATTCAACATGAGATTTGGGTGGGGACTCAGAGCCAAACTATATCACTCAACTGAAAACTTTGTAATGTAATTTAAAATTATTCTTACTTTTTTTCCCTTCTTCTTATTCTTTTTTTTTTTTTTAAACTGCATAACTTAATTTTTAAGACTTTGTAAATGAAATGAGCTTAGGAAAAACACACAAAAATGAAAAAGAAACACATAAATCAGTACACTGGGAAAAGAAGTGTGAATACAGCTGTTTCCTAACTTGTTTTATAAGAGTAGATAACAAAACTCCTACCTAATCCAAACTTCTTTTCTGGAAACAAAACCCATGTTTAATGATCTGTGAAATCCTGCAGCACCAATCATGTCAGATTTTGTTTTCCTATGTGCCCATTTGTTCATGCATTCATTCATTTATGCAGCATGTACTGGGGCTCTGTGTGTGCTAAGTACTCTGGGGTAAGATACTGAGGATACAGACTAAGATATGGTCCTTGTCCTCAAGGGAGGAATGAGATAATTCCAACTGAGTACGATAAATGATAATGACAGAGGTGAGCACAAGAATGCTCGAAGAACAGACAGGACAGTAACTCAGCCAGTGCAGTAACTCAGCAAGTGTGGTGAGGAAGTAGGAAAAAGGGTCAGTGAAAACTTCCTGGAGCAGTGGTCCCCAGCCTCTTTGGCACCAGTAACCAGTTTCACAGAAAACAATTTTTTTTTAAGACAGGGTCTCACTCTGTCACCCATGCTACAGTGCAGTGGCACGCTCTCACTGCAAGCTCTATTTCCTGGGCTCAAGTGATCCTCCAGAGTAGCTGAAACTACAGGCATATACCACAATGCTTGGCTAATTTTTTGTATTTTTGGTAAAGACAACTGTAATCCTAGCACTTTGGAAGGCTAAGGTGGGCACATCACAAGGTCAAGAGATCGAGACCATCCTGGCCAACATGGTGAAACCCCGTCTCTACTAAAAATAAAAAAATAAAAAAAGTTAGCTGAGTGTGGTGGTGTGCACCTGTAATCCCAGCTACTCGGGAGGCTGAGGCAGGAGAATCACTAGAACCTGGGAGGTGGAGGTCACAGTGAACCGAGATTGTGCCACTGCACTC